GGTTTAGGGTCTTCATTTTCACCTGGTTGTTGGCTGGAATCCTGTCTGTGTTTCCTGTCTGCTTTCAGAAAAGCCCAGTCAGAATAACCACACTGCTCCAGAACCTGTCTTGTGTGTGACCTCTTTCTCCCTGGCTCCTGGGTTTGTAGGGACACTGTCTGCTCTGTGGTACAGAGTCCTGATCACTCCTAACTTGTGTTCCAGTGGGTGGTGGGAGTCAAAACGCAAATATTGGTCTGTATGGGTGGGTTTGCGATACACGTCATACAATAGAGCTAATCAAGCCTATTGTTAGTCGATGATCCTATTTTGCATTTGACTAACCTGTTTGTCCATGTGGAGGCTGTGCTTATAAGGCTGAGTTCACCTGAAACTCATCAGACTGAAGAAGTCACTTGGAGGAGAGATGAAACTTTTCACTAAAGAAGAACCCATCCAGAGGAACTACTTATTTTTTCTTTTTGATTTTTTTCTACCTGGTTTACTGAGATGCATCAGGGAATGCTATAAAAGTGTTAGCACAACAGAGTTTTTGAAATATGTCTCATTCTGACTCTTTTCTACTATTTCAACAATGTACATATCAAAAGTTTAGCTCCTTCGGGACTCTCTGGCTATGACTTTTCAAACTTCATTTACACATTTTGAGATATTTAGCAATTTCTGCCATGTTTTTCTCATTGAAAATGAGCGGAGCTGTTTTCAACATCATTAAAACCTTTTAAAATGTTCTTAAATCTGTACTGTTTATCTTTCCTTTTGTTTCACTTCTGTTTTTGATTCACTAATTTGTACTTTCAAATTCATTTGGCTTTTATTTAGCTGATTTTAGCTTTTTTCTTTTTATTGAACTATCAATCTGATCTTTTCTGCTTTTCTTCTGTTAATTCAAACTTTTTTTCTTTTTGTTATTTTAGGCTTTTTATGAATCATTCAGCTGTTTTGTCTCATTTCAGCTGTTTTGTGTTTTTAGCTACATTTCAGCTAATTTCAGCTTTTTTTCAGCTAAATTCACCTTTTTGTGATAATTTCAACTACTTACTAAATTCTAATTACGAAATAAATTCTACTACTAAATTCTACAAACATGCTCTGTTTCTTTGTGCTAATTTCAGCTATTTTCTTTGCTATTTTTTATATAGTTTCAGCATTTTTAGCTATGCAAACAAACAAAGGGCTTTATTTTAGATGTTTTTGTAACAACAAAATTATCTTAAAATGTCTTCACAATTTTTTTTGACTTTTACAACAGTTAATTTTTAAGGAACAGTTTGAAATATCTTGTTCATATTAAAAAAAGGTTTCACAAATACTGCAAAAAAAGAGCAGAAAAAGATGCATGTATGTACACTCACCGGCCACTTTATTAGGTACACCACGCTAGTAACGGGTTGGACCCCCTTTTGCCTTCAGAACTGCCTCAATTCTTCGTGGCATAGATTCAACAMGGTGCTGGAAGCATTCCTCAGAGATTTTGGTCCATATTGACATGATGGCATCACACAGTTGCCGCAGATTTGTCGGCTGCACATCCATGATGCGAATCTCCCGTTCCACCACATCCCAAAGATGCTCTATTGGATTGAGATCTGGTGACTGTGGAGGCCATTTGAGTACAGTGAACTCATTGTCATGTTCAAGAAACCAGTCTGAGATGATTCCAGCTTTATGACATGGCGCATTATCCTGCTGAAAGTAGCCATCAGATGTTGGGTACATTGTGGTCATAAAGGGATGGACATGGTCAGCAACAATACTTAGGTAGGCTGTGGCGTTGCAABGATGCTCAATTGGTACCAAGGGGCCCAAAGAGTGCCAAGAGAAGATTCACCACACCCTGACACCACCACCACCAGCCTGAACCTTTGATACAAGGCAGGATGGATCCATGCTTTCATGTTGTTGACGCCAAATTCTGACCCTACCATCCGAATGTCGCAGCAGAAATCGAGACTCATCAGACCASGCAACGTTTTTCCAATCTTCTCTTGTCCAATTTCGATGAGCTTGTGCAAATTGTAGCCTCAGTTTCCTGTTCTTAGCTGAAAGGAGTGGCACCCGGTGTGGTCTTCTGCTGCTGAAGCCCATCTGCCTCAAAGTTCGACATGTTGTGTGTTCAGAGATGCTCTTCTGCCTACCTTGGTTGTAACGGGTGGTTATTTGAGTCACTGTTGCCTTTCTATCAGCTCGAACCAGTCTGCCCATTCTCCTCTGACCTCTGGCATCAACAAGGCATTTCCGCCCACAGGACTGCCGCTCACTGGATGTTTTTTCTTTTTCGGACCATTCTCTGTAAACCCTAGAGATGGTTGTGCGTGAAAATCCCAGTAGATCAGCAGTTTCTGAAATACTCAGACCAGCCCTTCTGGCACCAACAACCATGCCACGTTCAAAGGCACTCAAATCACCTTTCTTCCCCATACTGATGCTCGGTTTGAACTGCAGGAGATTGTCTTGACCATGTCTACATGCCTAAATGCACTGAGTTGCCGCCATGTGATTGGCTGATTAGAAATTAAGTATTAACGAGCAGTTGGACAGATGTACCTAATAAAGTGGCCGGTGAGTGTATATATATGCATGTGTGTGTACAAACACACACATACACATGCATGCATTTTATTTTATTTTTGCAGTGATTTATGATCTCAAGAACAAGATTTGTTTAAAATCCTGACTTCTCTTGGAGTTTTGCTAAAATTGTCAAGTTTTACTTTCATTTAGATAAAAAAATAGAAGTTTATCCAGCTAGATATGTGAACAATATTTCTTTTTCTGTTTGTGGATTTCAGCATTTGTAAGGAATGATGGTCTTCCTCTGGGGTCTTTCTCCAAATACACCTGGCACATCACCAATCTGCTGCATGTCAAACGGATTTTTGACACTCCGGAGGTAAATGCTCACAGGGGGTGATTTCTGTCTATATACATATACTTGAAGTTTGATTTTGCTGCTCTGATATTTAGGACATGGCTGATTATTCATTTACACAGTACATTCTTAGTACCAGTTGTATTTTTTATTGTCTAATGTATTTGTTGCATGTTTTGCTGGTTTCTCAGCCAGGTCTCTGTTAAAAATAAAGTTTTTATACTCAGTGCAACTTTGACCTGGATGAATAAATGCAGTAGTATGATCACTTTTATCAAAGCAGGAGTTTGGTCAGGTTACTGCTCTGTGGCGGTCAGGTGTATGTTAACACAATGTCAAGCCAGAAAGACCTCAGCAATGACCTTAAAGAAGCAGGTGTTTCTGCCTGTCCATCTGGGAAGGGTTAAAGGTCAATTCCCTACTGTATGAAGTCCATTGTTCTATGGAGTGATAGATTTGTCAAACGTGTTAAACACATTTTATTACATGTGGGAACTAGGTATGATGGAAAATCTGAACCTTTGCAGCACAACGCTGTGCGTCAACCAACCAGAGACTCCACTGTGTGATATAGTGACAGATGTTGGGACAGTTTCCTGAATGATGTCCTCTAACCTGAGACAGATGGACAGGAGCTCTTGAGCTGTAATCGAGTGGCTGTAATCGGTGTCCTGGCAGGAGATGTGGGCACCGATGTGGGTCAGCGGCTCCTCAAACTGGACTCGGGACAAAAATAGTTCTGAAAGCGAACCTCGTCAGCTCACAGCTCCTGAGTGATGAAACTCACCAAACCCGCAACGTCTCTGAACTCTCTGGTGAATTAATTATGAATTAATTATCTGGTGAGCGTGACGTGCTTTTGCTCTCAGTAAATAAAGCAAAGACACCATCTTTATTTCATCCGCCATTAAACAGAGACCCACAGAGGAAAACAAGAGGCTTTTGATGCGTGATGCGCGTCGAGCAAATTAGACTCGCTTCTGACCTCAGAGTGCACAAGTATCCAACTTAAAGTGTTGGAGGCATTTTTATGCTAAAATCGTGTTCAGTGTGAACGCAGCATAACCCTGTGGTGCACCTTGAAACCAGGTTTTGGCTCATGCTGAGTGGCAACTTTAGATAAGACTCAGTAAACAATATTGCAAAACTGTAAATTATTACCAACACTAAAGGGCAGCATTACTTTTAGAGGATTTACATTTAATAATCTGATTTTTAAATATAAAATAACCAAAAGCTCCTCTCTTGTTATTTATCTTTCTGTACCGATCAGCTGCCTTTGGAGGTCACACAGAGTTTTGTAAAGAATGTGGACGGTTCATACTCACGTTTTTATTGTCCTGAGCCGCCACCTGAGACAGGATTACAGGACGGCTTCAGAATGGATCGACCACAGGCGATACGACCACTGGAGCTCCGCACCTTCCTCAAAGTCGGTGTGTAACTTTTATTTTTACTACCTGCCACTGAAGAGTGAAAGTTGGGCGTTAAAATTTAAAGATGTGAAGATCTAATTATTTTTGTTCTGGTCTGTGCATTTGTGGTTTTTAAAAATATCTCATGAATCTCTGGATGGACTTTATTTTATTTATCGTTGTTTAACCAGGCAAATCCCACTGAGATCACAGATCTCTTTTACAGAGAAGCCTGGGCCTGCAGGCAACCTATTGTATATATTTTTGGGGTGTGGGGGAAACCTACACAGTCACAAGGAGAGCATGCAAACTCCACATAGAAAGACCCCAGGTCTGAACCAGGGATCGAATCCAGGACCTTCTTGCTGTGAGGCAACAGTGCTAACCACTGATCCATTGCGTTGCATTTTAATTAAACTAATCACATCTACTCCTGGTAAATTTTTGAAGTCAACCCAATTCAGGATGGCTACCACAACAGATCAGACTTAGCAAACACAAAAAGGGCTATAACGTAGCCAGATGAGCTAAATATTTGGTGTGGTAGTAGCTGGCATTAATTCCCAACACATACTGTACTTTTATTGTTACACATTGCTCAACATCTTTGCGTAAATATTTGGAAGTAACAGAGTCAGCCCTGTCTGTTAACTAAAAATCCCCAGAATCTCTACTTTAAATGAAACTCTCTCAAAGTAATCATGTACATTTAGCTGATTAAACCTTTTGAAGTTGATCAAATTTAGCTTACACAAAATCAGCTGTAACTGTCAGTTTTACCGATGGTGAGCTAAAGTTTGATGTCAAAGTTGAGTCATTCACAACTCATAATAGCCTATATGCCACGGTCATTAATGACGTATTTCCGGTAAAATTCTTGCCACGCTCCTCCCTTCCACTCCCTGCTTACTGCCTATTAGCTGCTAGTACTAGTCCGTGAAAAAGTCACAAAAGTTGAAGCATCTGTGATCTACTGGTATAAAATGAGTTCTGTTGTGTGCCGTTGTGTCCACTAAGCAGCAGGTACGATCATTAGTTAGTTTTTATCCTTTTTCCTCTTGATGAGGAGGTGACAGCAGAGGATCATAGCATTACAGGGAAAACTGATCTTTAAAAGCTCACGCTTGTGTTTGTAATCAGCATTTCTAACCTGAGGATATTCAAGAGCCAGCATCAGAAATGAGAAGAYGGAGGTTACAAAAGGGAAATGTACATTTATCCCCTTTTACTGCCAAGACAAGAGAGGAAAGACCTCCTCCACACAACAGCTAGCAGGAAGCTAACACAGCAGCTGGTACAAAAGTAGGTGTGTGTGTGCGTTTGTTTTATAGGAAATGTTTTTATGCGACTTTCTCATGAGTTTTATGCAAAAGTAAAACCTTGTTAGTGTGTATATTACAGTGTAGACTAAAGCCGAGTGACGATCCCCCCTCTCCGAGAGCAGCAGAACCTCCTCCTGACAATCATTACGTTTTCAGTTCACTAACATCAGGGAAAACTATCCAAACCTACAGGTAGCCCATCAGTTTAAAGCCCAGACTCTGCTCTTTCCAACAATATAAGTGTCACAGCTCTACGTGAAAAATTCACAGAACAAGCAGCCACAGAACAGCGACAAAGGCAAATTTCTGGAACCATAAACACGAACGTCTTTCCTTTGTTTTTATGTCTTTAATCCACTTTGGAGTGATTTTTTTCCCACTTGGCTGAACCTGTACGTCTCCTGTGTTAATGTTGGTACATGTAATATGATAATTCTGTACTGTGGAGATCATTAAGAGTCGTTGTCGGGTGAAAAAATCTTTTGCCAACACTGTGTTGACCGTGAACTGGAAGTGTTGGGAGTGGCATCAAGTGCTGGACCGGATGTCTGTGGCATATAGGCTATTTAGGCTCTTTCAATGCCGTTGTCTCTGCTAGGCGTTGATTAAAGCTTGAATAAGACACAGAGCTGTCAGTCTGCTCATTCACACTTTTCTGTCTGTCAGGACCGAGCACAGCAGACCAGAAGGAGGCCAGTCCGTTTGTGATCGAGTGGATCCCTGACGTTTTGCCCCACTGTCAGATGGGAGAACTTCGGATCAGCTTTGAGTTTGGCCACCAGCAGAGCGGCCAGCTCGAGAGCGCTGAGAAAACGAGTGCGAGCGAGAAAAAAGGATTCAACAAGTCAGACTGTTCCCAAACCAAAAACCACAGTGAAATCCTTCAGGTAGTTGTTTAACAGCCATGCAGTATCTTCCTCATTAAACAGTGTTTACATAATCAACAGCCACCTTACTGACAAATACAATATGTCACCGAGAAATCCATGCATTATTCTTTCTTCTTTTATAAGGTGCAGATAAACATTTTCTAGAGCTTTAATGTTAATCAGTACCATGTTTGACTGAGGTGTTTACACATTGCACAAAACATTTGAAGGGTTTGAAATAGAAAGACTGTAAATACAGGTATACCTCAGACTGGAACCCAGAAACGGAACTGGGAACAAGATTTTCTCTGTTGGCTGGTTCCAAAACAAGTTTTAGGCCCCACCCCCTCCGTTGTAAACAAATGGGACACTGGGACAAATACAGACGATGGTGGTCTTTTGCTGTGCTTTTATATAAAAAAATAAATAAAATAAAATCAGCTTGTTTTCCTGATGAGAAAATAAGGATTTGAATCGTCTCCCATTGTGTAGTGCCTCATTGTTCACAGCTAGAAGTTAGGGACATGAGTTCAGAAGGAGGAAACGATCACAGGCAATGAAATGATAAATAAAACTATTATATTTGTTCATTTTATCTATGAGACATTGAGTCTATGAGGAAAGGGGGGGATTTGTCATTTCCTTACAGTCTCTGAGAGTTAAGATAAATTTGAAGCTGAGTTTTTTTATGGATAACCTGCATAACTTGATGTATGTATTCTGTGATATTTTAATTCAAAGTAAAAATAAGGAGGCAGATATGAACTTAAGAACATTGAATACTTGTATGAAATGCTAATTTCTGATCAGAGTAATTGCCTACTGCTCAGAAAGAGTAATGGATTAATTTAAACCTGTTAGTTTCTAGCCTCCTCTTTTGTGAATCAGGATTAATTCATCCAGTATTACATGAAAATCCTGTCTTAATGTCCAACATCCACCATAACAGTCCAAACTGCCCTTAACAGGTATCATTGTTGTAGAATATGAAGGCTGTATGTTTTTTCACATTTGGGCCAAGCAAGTGTTAAAAAAAGAAAAAAAAAGAAAGAATCGTCCGGTAACAGAAACACCCGAGCACACCGCCGAAGAATGCCGAAGGCAGACGACATCAGAGAAGTGGCTACAGGCAGGACATATTAAGAAGACACATACGTAGAAGAAACCACCCAGTGGAGCTACTTAATTTTTCTTTCTGTGCCTGCTTTGGTGTTATACTGCAGAGCTGGGCAACACATCGACTAAATGAGAACTGTAGTTGATAGCTGTAAACCTGTGTCTGCCTTGAGGAGGAGCGCCTGTGACATCATTGCCCATACATGGAAAGGAACAGCTTTTCCAGAGCAACAGCTATAAAACTCACTTAAAATCATCTTCAAAACAATTTAGGGTTATTTTAAAAATAATTTCTATGAAACATACCTGGGTTGTTTTTATCATATGCTGTTTGAAAACATGGTGGGTGTTGGACTTTAATCTTTGATCCTGGTTTTGTGCAACAGGCCTTTGCTCTGGTGAATTTGATTTTGTCGACTGAGTTGACAACATGATTGGTGAACACTTCCTTAGCTTGGATTTTGACCCATGTGTCATTCTGGGATCTCTTTTCAACATTGAATTGATTTTGACCGTCAGATGCAGCTTCTTCTAATGCCACATTGAGACGGGGATGAAGGATGCTTTTTACTTTACATTAGAAAAACAATAACAAACATATTATAGCTTTATAAATTGTACAATGAAACCTGACACTCATTATTTTCACTCTAATTTACACCTTTTTTCATGTGACCAAAGCATGTTTCTTGTAAAACAAGCAGATTCTCTGTTAATCTGCAGTGAATTTAGCTGCAAAAATGGATCAATTCATGCAGTTTAAAACTCATCGGATGGGAAATAAAACATTTTCAAATACAGAATAAAAGTCCAGTTGCTTTTTTATTTCCCATATCCTGGAGGATTGAGAACATACACTAAAAGTTCCAAAACAACTGAACACAACTCTTGGTCAACAGCTTCACAGATCTTGGCCCCACTTCAGGACTTGTTTTCAATTCTTAATGATTGATAGAAAAAAAGACTACAGTTTAATTATTTCAGAGCTCCAATAAAATAAGAATGAATAACCAACATTCTCTAATGCTCACCTAATACTATAAATGAATTGATATATACAGCGGGTAAAATAAGTATTGAACTTGTCACCATTTTTCTCAGTAAATATAGTACTAGAGGTGCTAATGACATGAAATTTTCACCAGATGTTGGTAACAACCCAAGAGATCCATACATACAAAGAAATCAAACCATAAA